ACTTGTTGCGGCCAAAGCCGATTTTAGGGAACTTTTGCAAGTATGTTAAAAATATATCATTACTTCTATCTTTATTATTGTACAATTTTTCATAGTATTAAATATCAATTTTAGGAAACGAAACTTATTACTGATAAGACGTATAAAAAAGTACAAGAAAATAGTGCACATTTAGCCGAAATTGAAGAAATTTTGAGAAAGGATCGAAGATTTCTTGTATTAGAAGCAGCAGCTGCTGAACGGACGCGGTTATTAATGGGATATTTGGAAGAATTGGCGCGTAGGGGTCCACCTCCACCACCTACTGCCTCAGAACCTTCAAGAAGGCCAACTACAAAGTAATTATCGTCTCCAATAAAGCAACAAAAGTGTCTATATAAGTGTTTGAATTTGCGGAATATATTTTTGTTCTAGTTAACGAGGTCCGCATCGAAGCATGGTATATATATGGTGTCCAAATAACAAATCAGTGATTGAATTTATAGCTGTAGTTGAATTGAAGTACTTTACACACGAGATGATTATCGCCTGTAATTATAGGAATCAATAAAACTAACGCCAATTCCACACAGCTAAAATGTGTGTCATACTGTAAAGATGCCATAGTGTAAGCATATCATTATTTGTTGTATTACGTTAAAATAGATTCTAGTTAACGAAAAAAAATTATTAATAATATTACATAATAATATCATAAAGTGCGAATTTTATACATATTTTATCCAGGTTTGTTACATAAGCACCTCATTATGAATATTTTGTATGAAAATTACATGAGAGTTACAATGACCACTGTTTGTTGCACTCTCGACTAGTTTAAAAGCATGTGCAGTGAATTTCTATAAACTGATGTTAAAATATAATAGTCCAAAAATATATCGATCCTTGTATCTAAACCGAAAAAAAAAAATGTATAACTTGCAACAATCACACACAACAATTTTTCGATGGAATATAATTCGGAAATCATATTTTCAATGTTTGAATTATTTTTCTTATACAGCTCTGTTGGATTATGAAACGTAAGTATCCTACAAAACATTCTCAATATTTGAAATCATTTGATTCTAAAGAAATCATACAGAGAATGTTATATATTGTTTACAATCAACTGATTATTGTTCATCATTTGTTAATGTGGCATTTTTACGGTACGAAATTCTTAATCTCATAGAATATATTAGGAAAATATATTTTCTTCAATAAACTATTCATAAAAATTATGATAATCAGCATTTACACGTATCCCCAATGATCTATTGTATTATTTACGTTTTATTTCCAATGTTTTGTGATATTTCATTACAGACTCATTATAGAAAACGAAAAAAAAAATGAGCAATAAAAATTATCAAAGATTCAACAAATTATCACATTAATTTATACATTTTATTTTATATTAAGAAATATCAAAATTGCTTATTTTTCAGCTCAAAAATAATAATTTACACTATATGTAATGATATAATGTTACAATATAATATGTATATGAAATAAATAAAATAATGTATATTGTAACATTACAAAAAAAAATTATTTTTTATTTTTTTAATTATGTTATTTATTAAAGCAGAATTTCAAATATCAAAAAAATAGAATAAAATTCAATTTCCTGTTATTAAATATAATAAATTTATTCAATCTTGTGTTATTAAATATTTAGTTTATCAAGCATAATATATAAAACAGTCATGTAAGTATATATTTGTTACTACAAGCTGTATCAGATATTTTAATTAGATGATTCGCGTGGTGATTTCAATGCCAGCATAAACAATGTCTTTAATGTCCGTATCTATCAAAGGAAGCTTACGCTATATTTCTTTTACATAAATAATCTTTTATCTTCTACATATAAAATTTAAATCAACGACAAAATATTTGCAATATAATCTTTTCCATAATTTTACGAGCAGATTTTTTTTTATCAATCAAAGATAATTTAAAAAAAATTAAAATCTTCTCGCTTTCGTGCTAACAAAAAAAATGTCAAGTACAGATAAAATTGTCACGAAATGAAATGCTGTACATGATTACATATCTTTATCGTTACCGTTACAATCGAGACCAAGGTGCACTTCCTGCTAACTCTGCAGGAATACAAATTGGCAACTTGACACGATGCCTAGCTTGTAACCGAATCTTCTCTCGCAATTTCACATAAATAGTAAAATTTATAAAAATCCAAATACCGATGAATATCTCTCACGAACTCTAGTATTACATACTTAAACAACATTTTTGTTAGACAAGTTTGTATTATAAAATTACTTTGTCCTTTTAATCCTTTCCAAATACTTTTTTAAATGTAAAACGTATCACTAACTTCTAACTTCTAATTTACACATAAAATTAATAAAAATAAATGTTTAAAAATTAATCTAACATGCCATATATATATATATATTATTCTATTTAAATTATTTAAGTTATTATTCATCTATTTCAAACAGTTTTGAATTATTTGAGCAAAATAGTACACATTTACAATTGCATTAAAAATAAAATTCGTTGAATCACATACGAATCTTATACATAAATATGCAGCATCTATTATACGATACACATACTTATATATTCTAAAACTACAAGTATAATTTTAAATATCATATGTATACATATATATGCAATAATATATGTTCAAAAAAAAAAAAA